TTAGATTTATTAGTAAAACAATAAAGCAATTAAACAAAGCAATTCACTTAACCAATATTTTACATATAAATTATAATTTTAAACTAATATTTTATTAATTTTAATGAACTCATTATTATTTTTCATTTCCAATTTAGTTTTTACAACTTTGCCAGTAATTAAACGATGATTAACATCTCCCCAATTAAACGAAATAAATAAGTTTCTCTAAGAAATAAATGATTATTCCATTATATAATTTAAATACAAACAAAATGCATTACAAATTTGAAAATTACCATGAGACGTCTTCACGTTCTATCAAATTACTCGAAAAATAGTTAAACTAATCAAATTATCAAAAATGCAAATTCAAGGCAAAATAATGGCATTTTCAATAAGCCCACTGTCAAAGCTGTGATTCTTCTCATTATCCTACAATAAGCTGTCAAAGTAAAATAATAATAGTTTTCTGTAATTTTCCTTTTTAACGATTTTTCGAAAATAATAGACTAATAAGATTTAATTTTATACATTTCAATTTCATTAAGTAATACTTCTTAGTTTGTAAACTAAACTAGTCATTTTATTAGTAAAACAATAAAATTAAACAAAACAATTCACTTATAAATCAATATAAATGATTTTATACTAATAATTTATTAATTTTAATGAACTCATTATTATTTTTCATTTCCAATTTAGTTTTTACAACTTTGTCAGTAATTAAATTACTGATTAACATCTCCCCAATTAAACGAAATAAAAAAGTTTCTCTAGGAAATAAATGATTATTCCATTATATAATTTAAATACAAACAAAATGCATTACAAATTTGAAAATTACCATGAGACGTCTTCACGTTTTATCAAATTACTCGAAAAATAGTTAAACTAATCAAATTATCAAAAATGCAAATTCAAGACAAAATAATGGCATTTTCAATAAGCCCACTGTCAAAGCTGTGATTCTTATCATTATCCTACAATAAGCTGTCAAAGTAAAATAATAATAGTTTTCTGTAATTTTCCTTTTTAACGATTTTTCGAAAATAATAGACTAATAAGATTTAATTTTATACATTTCAATTTCATTAAGTAATACTTCTTAGTTTGTAAACTAATAGCAATAATATACAATTAGATTTACTAATAAAACAATAAAATTAAACAAACCAATTCACTTAATCGATATTTTTTTTAAATACATATAAATCAATATGAATTATGATTTTATACTAATAATTTATTAATTTTAATGAACTCATTATTATTTTTCATTTCCAATTTAGTTTTTACAACTTTGTCAGTAATTAAACGATGATTAACATCTCCCCAATTAAGCGAAATAAATAACGCGATTTCTTAATTAATGATGATTCATTGCTGTGTATAACAAAATTTTAGTCATTTTTTATACAATTTAAAAGTCTTGTAACACTACGGGTTTTATCGCTTACGAAATACAAATATAAAAAATCTTCAAGCCAATCTCCCGAGTCGTGGGAACTTCCCACTTCCCTTTTATCGAAAAGGAAGATTGGAGATTTCTGCTTCCTTGTGGTCAGGACCCTTCTTCACTATCGAACTCCTTAACTGTATTCTTTTCACAATTCTGGACCCGCACAATATCTATCAAAATCTGTTCTCTGATCTCGACCATCTCTCTTCACGGTTCGATCCAATCTCTCTGAAATTCTGGAGTCCTCCTAGCGTTCAGGAGCATAATTACAATCTTAATTATTAATGCATAGGAATGTTTTTGTAAATTTTGTTTTATTGTTTACAAATAGTTATTGTAAAAGCGTATGTGTTTTCTATATATATATATATATATATATATTGAATAGATTTAAATGCGTTGAAAATAAATGATTAATTAAGGACGTGTCAGGATTCGGACGCGGAATTAATGAGAGACCAATCAGGGATAATCAATTCGGTTGCCTTTTAGCTTAATTTGTTTACCAAATCGATAATTTCACATCTTTACAGCTTTTACCACAAAAACCATCATTTGAATATACGACAAATTCATTAGTTTTCTATTAAATCAATTTTTTTATTACTTTCATAATCACTTTATGTAATAAATACTAGAGAAAATTAAATAACATAAATGAAAGTGTATAATAAATATTAAAATATGAATTATTTTAAGTCGAAAATACACACATTTTAGACTGTAAACACATACGAATATAAAAAATTCTATTTATTAATTTATGTTACAAATTGTTAATTTTAATTGATGTTTTAATCATCAAGAGAATTCCAGTTTCGTCCACTTTTTTTCATCTGCATCGATCAATATATTGCGTATGCACGATATGTGTAATTCCCATTTAATAAAACACAAAACGTGGGAGGAAACACTTTAATTCCGGATGATTTTTTTTTGTTGGTTCGTACGTAGAAAATGGCACGTTGTGCTGCATAAATGGCACGCATAAAGCTCGTCCTCCACACAGCCCTTTCCGAATCCCATTAGGAACGCAAAACATTTGCATATTTTTACCATGGATTCGCTGAAACAAAACAAGAGAAAAAAATAAAACGATTACTACGTTATTTGATCACGTCAGTCTTGACCTAATGGATGATATAATTGAAGCGTACTTTTTCAACCTTTCAAATACATTATATGACGAATTTATTGCTGGATTAATATGTTTTTTTTTATTCAGAAGTTATGAAATTACGTACGTTAATACACATTTTGTTTTTTCGCTGAAATGTGTCGATTAGCACGCAACGTGCATAAAGAATATAGGTTTAATTACAATTTTAATGATAGCTTAATTGTTATTATACTTGAGTTGCTCAAAAAAAATGTTTCTTTTTTAATGGAATTTATAAACTGAAAAGTTATTGCACATTATTTATATAAAGCTGTTATTATTAGAGCTTCAACTTTTATTTAATTACTCAATAAATACTTACACTAATTGAATCATCAAAAAAGCAAATTAAAGAATAAAATCATGATAATTCCAATAAACTTACTGTCTAATCTGTGAAATTTATCTTTATCATATAATAAGCTGTCAAAGTTGAGCAATAAACATTTTCAATTATTTCTTTTTTTTTAACAATTTATCGAAAATAATAAGATTTTTATTTTTTTTTTTCATAATATTATTTAGTTATTATTAAAGAAAGTTTCTCCAGATAAAATAAGAAATAAATGTTTTTTTTCATTATATAATTTAAATACAAAAAAATGCATTGCAAATTTGAAAATGTCCATGAGACGTCTTCACGTTTTATTTATTAATTACTCAATAAATACTTACACTAATTGAATCATCAAAAAAGCAAATTAAAGAAAAAATCATGACAATTCCAATAAGCTTACTGCCAAATCTGTGGTATTTATCATTATCATATAATAAGCTGACAAAGTTGATCAATAAACATTTTCAATTATTTCATTTTTTTTAACAATTTATCGAAAATAATAAGATTTTTAATTTTTCATAATATTATTTAGTTATTATTAATGCAAGTTTCTCTAGGAAAAATAAGAAATAAATGATTATTTCATTATATAATTTAAATACAAAAAATGCATTGCAAATTTCCATGAGACGTCTTCACGTTTTATCAAATTACTCGATAAATAGTTACACTAATTAAATTATCAAAAATGCAAATTCAAGACAAAATAATGGCATTTTTAATAAGCCTACAACCAAATCTGTGATTCTTATCATTATCCTACAATAAGCTGTGAAAATAAAATAATAATAGTTTTTTGTATTTTATTCAATTGAGTATATTTTCATTTCATTTTTGATTCAATTAGTAAAAAAGCGCGCATAAAGAATTTATTTTATTTTGTGGATAAAGTTGTAAGAAATGCTCGGATTAAAGTAAACTAGGGAATTCAATATCAATTTTTATTTCGAATTGTTTGGGAATTGAAATCAACGATCCGCACTTCTTATTTGCAGTTCAATTTCATTAGGTAATTGTAAACTTTCCAAAGTCATCCTATCTCGTATAGATGCATTCTTCATTTCTTAATATAACATTTTTATATATGAAAATTATTAATTTCATATTAATTTTAAATTGTTTCAATGTTGTTCATTATTAATTGATTCTTATCATTTCTTTAGTAATTAAATATTTAGTATTGTTTTAAAAAATTCTACAGTTCTAAGTTAATGAAATAAACATGTATAATCCTTTTATTGGAAACAAGTTGTTAAAGTGCAAGTATTGTGTAGAAAATATATGTGAACTTAAGAGCAATCAACGTGTAAAACAAATAGATTTAGTCGCTCGTGGAAATTATTAGAATAAACGCTGCTCCATTTCCTTCCTTTCACCCTGATCCTATCTTATCGTATTTTCAGTTAATTTGCATGCGGTATGCGCTTTTCCGATACAACAACGACCGCTGCGTGATGACCCTTAAAAAGTCCTTCCATCTAATGGAAACAATCGCGTGCGTAGGACATTTTAGCGCTTCAATAAAAAAAATCCCAATTATGTTTTTATCAAACTTCGAAAAAGATGTTGATTTGGACATGTATTTAATATCTTCGAATTTAATACGTTAAAAGCCTACGTTTAAGTAATCTTCACGTAGTAGATATCATCATCATCTTCAGGATAATCTGGCGGGATATTTAATTTCAAATTGAAAGAGAAATCCTCGTTGAAAAGAAAACAGTTAACATGACACAACAGTCAGGTGAAAGATTGGAAAGGACTACACGTCGCTCAAATAACGATTTGAAAGCACGACTCGCACATCCATGACAATCGTCATACCTTTCAGACAAATCACTTCGACGAAGTAATGTTTTGTTTCGTACTTTAGCATAAAGATCCTGAAAAGTATTGTTTTTACACATTTCAGTTCAATTATTGAAATAATCTAAAATTTAGAATCCAAGATACATTTTTATGTTCTGAAATAGTTTTTTTTATAAATAAATATAATAAATAATAAATTTGGGGAAGATTCAATTAATTTCATTAAAACTAAATATTCTTGATTATTAGACTTAAGTTTATTTCTTAGACAATACGATGAGACAATATAATTAATTACATGTAACATTATATAACTATAATACATCACAAAGCAACATTTAAATGCATCCGATCTGGGGATCTCGCATGCATCACTTCTCTTCGTCGTGTTAAATTAACAATCATCGAGTTTTCTGGATGCGCGGGGCTCGTGCGTATCCAGAAAACGAAAATTTCATTATTCTATACAATAAATACGGGTACACAAAAATATATATGCTAATAAATTTAAATATATTACAAAAATATACAGTTGGGGGACATGGGGGGAATTAATGCAAGAATCACATTCATTATGTTCCTTCTATTTACATTTCTTTTTGTTTCTGTTGGAGATCACACTTATATAATTTATGTTTTATAAGAGGGCGGCTTTTTTTAAACGATGGTCACCTGCGTTGCTCCGCCGTTGATTTCGAGAGGACCTTGAGACAGAGGTGACCACTTTGTCAACCATTTAGGTCTGAAGACTTCTTGGAAGGTCGTCCGGAATTGCCGCGACATCGCGCAATACAGGATGAAGTTGATCGATGAGTTGATCAAAGCCAGGAAATCCATCAGATCACCTGAAACCATACAATTCTTATTAATCCATGTCGCAATTTCATGTCTTATACAAAAGTGTTGATAAAACAAGTCAAAGCTTTTATATCTCCATGTGAAAATGATAGGGCGAATATATCCGCCGCTCCTTCGCAAATAGTTAAAACTATATTCAATAGTCGAAAAACATGTCAGTTTAAGATGGATCAACTTAAAAGCATTTACAAAACGGAACGTTTATTTAAAAGACAGCTAAAACTGATGGATCATCTGCATCATCATCATCTAACTGTCCGCATTTCAATCAAAATCTTAATAGATTGATGGATGGATGCCCTCGTAACTTTCGCATTTTCTTTTCGGTAAATATAAGAAAGCTGACGTCGTGACTGATAAATTAATTTAATCACCCGGATGGATGAGGATGTAAGGAAAACACGAGAAAATATATGCGGAAGTATTGATTTTCTTTAAGTTAATCCACTCCCGCGCTGAATACCAAATTTTATAAGACCGCAAACAAATCGGGCGTTTAAAAATATAATGCATAATCAAATTTTAGGATCGATGCGGATAAAAATAGAGACATAAGTGTATTAAAAACAAATCATATTTTAATTGGAATAGATTCAATGACAGCTGTCACATTGTGTCAAAGCAATTGGGTCGCTGTACAAAGTGGTTAAATGACTCAAATGACAGCTGTCAAAACGAAGAACTGATGAAATGCACTATAGATTCTAGTGTCTATGTAGACAAAGCTTGATATGAACCCAAAAACTGCATTTAATTTGCAATTCCTGAAAGGACACACGCACTTCATAATTGAAACAACAGATGGCGTCTTCATTACTTCAATATTTTCACCATGACCTTGAAAATATTTACATCTGAATATTTGCATTCATTTTTATTATACACTTTAAACAAGTTTTGTTTTCCTTATTCGAAATGAAACCGTTACATAATAAATTCATTAGACAGAAAGAAATTTTCTAAATTGTAATTGCCAATATTTTCTTTTTTTTTTTTGCTCTCCTGAGAAATCATAAAATATTCGGTCCGAGAAACTTGCAAACCAGAAGGGAATTCTGTTGCTGTAAACCGGAAAGTTAAAATTATGAAAAATCCCATTCGTCCACGACTCCTGAAAAATGTTATCATTCTCAGATATGCATTGCCCTATTTCATGCTGAAATATAGTGCGCATTCGATTCCAACTTTTTTGAAAGCATTCAATGCTTATGCAACGACTTCATGGCTCGAAGCAAGAAGTAGTGAATTATGTTCTATAGAGAGTTACAAAAAAAAAGAATAGGAAGCGGAAGATAAGCGAGTTTTATATTTTTCGGAGGATGAGAAGAAACGTATAAAGAATCTTAATATCAGCAGAAAGCGAAAGTTTATTGCGTCCATCCCAGAAGTATCATAAAACGTAATCTTTCTTGAAAGATTATCTAAATTATTATATATTTTCACTAGATTTACTAAATCTTCTTTCAGAACACTTTTTCATTGAAATTATCATTAAAATCATTAAAACTAATTAATAAAATATTGATGTAATTATTTGAATATTTTAAGAATTTTGTCCAAACCAAATCCAATTACAATGAGAGAATTGTCCATTCGAGTTGGTCAAAACAATACGAAGCTTTACACTCTGATGTTGTGCAATTCCATCAAGCAATCCTTTTTTCCTTTTTCTCGTTTGAAATGAGAATCCCTTCCAACATAATTGCGGGCCTGCATTGTCGCAAGACAAACAATATAAAGCTTCAGGGGTGGTAAATAAGGGTTGGCATAACAGAACTGCAAGAAAGAAAATGAGAAGAAGAAAAAAAACAACAACAAACCGAAGCGTGAACTCACGAACGCTCTGTAATTAGTGCTGAAACTAATGGGTGATCTGGAATACTTCAAGTCCCAAAAGTTTTATTTATTTTTTCTTGGATTATTTTGAGGATAAGCATGAATCAATGATTGATTTGTTTTTCGTTTCCTAATCCGTGACGGATATTGGATTTGGCCAAATGATTGATTTGTTACTTTGTTCATAATCAATCAACTGTTGTGTTGAAACAAATCCGTGTGTTGTGTTATCATTATTTCTCTTTCTGTAACTTCTCGTTTTCATCAAATATTGCACATTTACGTAAGATTTGATGGGCAATAATACCACTCAAACTCCATACAAACATCAACAATGCAGGAATAGGAGATTAAAATCGTTGCATGTTACACGAACTCTATTTATAATTATTGCTCAGTTTTACTACATGACCAAAAATATACATTTACACAAATTACTATTTACTTTGCAGCTAAAACTTTAATTGAATCATTAAGTTTATAGATACCAAAAAGGGTAAGTTAATTATTTCGCTCTGTTAATAAAATTATATAATTAAAACAAAACTTTTCAAATAAATCTACATCTTCTTATAATCAATATTCTAATAATGAATCTTTTTTATGCGTTTTCTGTCTTTTAAACTCATAAATTTTTACCAAACTTTTCATTTGGTTATAATTTTATTTGAATACTTTGCGATTTAAGTATACTCTAATAAAAAATAAAATTTGCCTCATCCGTTTCCGCTACATTTTCGGTGTAATTAATTTCTTTCTGGATTTTTTTTGTTCATCCTTCGTTCCGCTCAGCCGATCCCATTTATTTTTTATTTCACTCGTCGTCTCCTTTTCAGTATGAAAATGAAACCATCGATCGTTTCGTCGGGAAGTTATCCTGGTTGGACGCAAATTACGTTAGTCTGAAGAGCTCTTCTAAATTAAGAGCCCAATACAATTTAATTTCTAAATAGGAGATGAAGAAAAAACTTTGATTTTCCTATTGACCCAATTACCCAATTTCATTAACAAAGAAGTATACTGTAAACTGTGATTATCTAATCCAGTTTAAGTTAAGTATTAGCATAAGTATACCAAAGATAAGCATAACATTTTTTAACTGGAAGATAATTTGTATGGTTTTGTAATCCAAACACCAACAAAATTATTAAATTGAAGGCAACCTTATTAAAGCTGTATTCTCATAATTGTTATTTTTTAACTGGAAGATAATTTGTATGGTATTACAAACGGATTTGGTGATCAACAGGTGCAGATAATTCAACTACTGTGTGTTGGGAAATCATATAAAAGTCTTGATGAGGAAATGATGAGGACGAGAGTATTTCCATATAACCGATTAAAAAGCAATCACGAATATGTTCCTTATTTTCTTTTTCAGCGTATTTATATACATATGCATGGATTTTCCTGTCGTCGGAATTAAGCTTTCAAATTGTAATTATTATTAGACAAACGACATTTTTTTATAAAGACTTCAACAAATATTATGAAATTATTTATAAAATACGTACCTAATGGATGGTAGCATTGATCTGGGAATGATCCGCCTATGATGACTGAAAGCAGACCTAGTATGGCCTGAGGTAATTCGGTGACGAGGAAGAGGAGGAGCACTGTGACAAGCATCCTAGTAGTCCTGTCCGTCTGATGCTCCTCTTCCAAAGTCTTTTTGTGTTTCAATGTCTTTTTACCATTGGTATCGATCAAAGGCACACCACTGTTAATTAAGAGATGCCTGCGGCGTCTCTTCGTCTCCATTAATCCGGAGATAAGTCTGGATGAGAGCACTATCAGCAGTATGCACGGCGCCAACTTTATCACAACACCGTAAATTAGATACGAGACGTTCTTGAAACTGCCAGTCATTTGCACCGTATACAAAGAGACGTTCTCCCTAGGTCCGGTATAATTGGCCAGCATCCTCTCCGAAATGATCCTCCTGTCCACATCCACCGACCTATGAGTCGTGGATATCTTATAAGTCAAGAACAACGGTAGACATATGATGGGACACCAGATATACGTCAAGAATATCGTGAGCAAAGTCTTCGGTATACTCGTCACAGTCTGCAGGAATCTGTTGTTCTGTCTATGCGAAATTGCAATATACCTCCAAATAGCCAAGATCACAGTCAAACAGCACGAAATGAAGTGGCATATCAAGGTGAAGAGCGCATGGAAATACGTGTAAATGGCCCACGTGTACGAAAAGAAACCTTCCGTTAATTTAGCTTCAGGATTCAGGTAGAAGTAATAAGCGAAAGGGATGTAATCCAGCATAACCAGAATATCCGATACCGCTAATCCTGTCAAGATGAGATTCGTAGGCCATCGCATCTCTTTCGTTGTTAACACGCAGATGTTGAGGATGTTCATGATCGTTCCGAAGACGCACACTATTATACTTAGATAACCGTGGATTCCGCTGTAGGTTTTGGCGAAGTCCGTGAAGTTGCAATAAGTGAAGTTCATGATGACGTCTCCGCTCGAATTTCCTCTCGTTGACACATCCATCTTTGCGTTATGTCACATCTTACCTACAACAACAACAAATAACTTATTAGTCACAATAACTTTTCAGGTACGCCTTTTGCTGCATGTAATTAAAACGATCTTACTTTAATCTTCAAAAGTAATTTCTTTTCATGAATGTAATTGCTTTACGGTCGGATCAATGGACTTGAGCTTTTCGCAAAGATCGCTTTTTCTTTCACACCCTTCTACTAATACAGCTAATCTTTGATCACATTAACCCTAATGATAGCCGATTTGGCTGTGGTCCACGTTCGAGACCCTGAATTCAGAGATCAAGGTTAAACGTCTCATTTCATAATCGAATAAAAGGTCGACTTAATAAAAACTACCAGTAAAATCAAATGTTTTATATAATAAGTAATATTTTTAGCTAGAAGAGACAACAAAGTCTTTGTATATTTGACAGCTGTCACTTTAATAAAAGGTAAAAGCTGTCATTATGTGACAGCTGTCAAAATATGGTAATTAATATATTTTCATGTAACAAAGAACACGCACCTCTTTATGTAAAGAAATCAATTTAGAATTGGGGTGCGTCTTTTATATAATTGATTTTCCAAAAATTGTCTCATACATTTGCGGTGTTTTATCGGATTATATCAAATTCGCGTTAATTATCGTGGATATCGAAAAACTTATACATCAGTATTATTGTGTTCACCGCAAATATTGTTATGTAATCGTGAGCAATTAGTGTCTCTCACGTTGACCACACTTCCCTTTTATTATTGTTTTTTTTTCTGTTCCTACCCTTCAATTTGGGCCGCAAAACCAACAGCGGAGGCCGGAGATATCCTTTACAACAGGACTCAGCGCAAATTATCCTTTATTTGCTGACCGGAAGGTCCATATTTATCGACACGTCCGACTCGATTTGTTCCTTTTGGACAAATACACGTTTCATGAAACTTTCTCGCACGGAAAGCGACGTGAAAACTGTATGAAAATACATAGAAAATGGAAATTTTTTCTAATATTTCCGTGACATTTACAAAAAAAAAAACAAAGTGTTTACATACTTTACTATTGTTATTTATTTACGTTGCATATAGAATTACACGTTTTGATGGATAATCCAGCAATTTGTCATGACTTAGTTATTTGTAACAAAAAAAAAACAAGTGACCGCGTGTAACTGGCGTGGTAATTAATCAATTTGGATTTGTTTAAAGTCCACAGCCATTATTACGAACGTTATAAATCAAATGTCATTGAAATTCCACTAGTTTTTCACTACAATATAATGAAAAAAAGTTCTAAAACACAATTTTTCATTAATAATTGCACATTAATAATTATTCTACACAAATTTAATGAAAATAAATATATTTTTTTATATAATTTCGATCTAGAAATCACTTAATTTCAATTATTTTGAATGATTGAGTTATAAAGTTTATGTGAAACGAGATAGAAACAAAGGGCGCAGAAAGTTATATAATAACAGAGTGTTGGCATTCTCTAGGACGCACGTCATTACGCCGAATTTAGTTCAAATTAAAGCGAATTGGCGCAAATGGCTAGCAATTATCTAAGTATTTGAATTATGGAATTAATTGCGCGCGTTTTTTAAATGTCCACATGGTTTTTTTATTTGTTTATATGTGTCTTAATTGGACTAATAAAAACATCCAATTGGATTAGCAACAACATAGATTAATTTACGTATAATTGTAGCAAAAATGAAGGAAATATTTAAAATATTCTTAAGAATAAAATAAAAAACAAATTTCTAAATTACTTCTGCTCAATTAATTCTATTTCAGAGAACTGAAGTTAACTTGAATGAAGTTCAGGTTTCAGAATATCTGAATCTCTATTACTTTCAGCGTTTTACCGCTTACATTGTGAAATGTTCTGATATTTCATGAAATCATATTTCTAGGAAATACAGAAGAGGATACGAGAGCTGCAAATTACCATTCACGAACGAACATTCTAAATATCACTTACGTATTATGACTACCCAATAAGAAACTTATACTTATCTCAGCAAATGCTATAACTATATTAGTTTCCGGTGGCAATCGCAAGCCCGACTGTATCAAAATCCCGGCTGTATTAAAATCCCGACTACCATAAAAATGTTATTGTAGAAATTTATAATAATAAAAGACACTGTCGGGATTTCGATATAGTCTGGATTCTGATATAGTCGGGATTTTGATTGTCGGGATTATGGTTGTCGGGATTTTGACATAGTCGGGATTTTGATATAGTCGGGATTTTAATACAGCCGGTATTTCGAACGTCGGGATTTCAATAGACGGGATTTCGATTGTCGGGCTTGCGATATAATGCAGTTCAAACAAAGAAAACATTTAATAAAAATTGTAAATAATAAAAACTATTTCCTTTTACGAAATTTGACAATTGAATCGAAATACAGAAAGGTTGATTTACGATTTCGAAATAGCAATTTAATGAAACATCAACAAATGAACAAATTTGACAATTGAATACAGAAAGGTCTTGTTTTACGAATTTTAAATAAAAATTGAGGAAAGAAAATTGAACACAAGAACAAAATTGACAATAGAGTCGAAACGCAGAAAAGTCTGGCTTTACGAATTCCAAATGCAAATTAATGAATAATCAACAAATGGAAAAAAACTCACATTTATTCATAATTTTATTTATTCATAAAAAAGTTTATACTTATCTCAAGAAAGCTTAAACTGTCTTAATTTTAGTATATTTTCAATAGTTCAAAGTTCAAACAAGGACATTTTTAATAAATAATCACCTACAATTAAACATTTTTCAAATTTCTTATATATTTTGACTTTCCAGTAAGAAGTTTATACTTATGTAAGGAAACTGTATTAGTTTAAATATATTTTCAAGAGAAAACGAAATTAAGACCAAATTTTCTACGAATATAGTTGTAAATTATCCAATACAAATAAATATTCTAAAAATTCCTTACATAATACAAGAAGTTTATACTTATCTCAGCAAAGATTATAATTATCATTGTTTTACTACATTTTGATTAGAAAACTTAGTTTGTCTTTGTCTTTAAGAAAAAAGTAATTAATACAGAAATTTAAAAAAACTAATAATTAATTAAAAAGAGTAAAATAAAGTTTTTTTTTTAATAATATTCTCTTATTATTATTTGTACAAAACAGAACAATCATCATACGAAACAAACAGTCTGTGAGTTATTTAATTAAAAGCGATGGCAAAGAGCGAGCAATCATAGAATGTGATAAAAAAAAGAATCTAGTTGCCTTTGAAATGGACACACACAGAGGTACGAAAGCCGCAAAATATTTGTTCTCTTGGAAAATGTTCCCAATTAAACGATGCACGACGAGGTAGTTTTTCCATCAACAAAAAAATAAAAGAAAACGTTTTCTATTTTCTATCTCTACCGTTTGTTTGTGGTTTTAAGCTTACTTTAAGTGCATTCATTTAGGTATGCAAGCAAACAAGTGATGTTTCGGATCGATGGAAATTCATTAAAATGGAGCAATTGTTTGCGTTTCAAAGAATTAACCTTTTACTCGAAAAGTAAGTTTTCTATTGATGAATTTCATTTGAAGAAAGGATCAATGGAAACGGAACAATTTGTTGGCTGAAATATGAGCGTAAAACGATGGATTTTGACAAGCGATTCGAATGGGTATTTGTTTAATTGAATTTCCACGCGATGATCAACGACCTTCGAGCGACGTCAATCCATCAATCAAGAGTGGATCAACAATTCAAACATGAGCTTTTAATATTTATGAACAAACATTTCACTCAGTTTGGTATAAATTAAGATATAACAGAATTATTATATAAATATTGTTTTATAATTAATTACAAATAATTTTCAGGAATTTCAGGTAATTCTAATTTCTGTTAATCTCAAATGCATCAAAATTAAATATATTTTTTTTGTGATTTGTCTTTAAAAAAAACAAATAAAAATGTAATGTTACAAAGATATAAATTACCAATATAAAATCAATAATTACAATTAGTTTAATTAAATTCTACAGGACTCACAAAAAAATATGAAATGAAATACAAATTTACCCGGTATTTGACGTAAATGTAATGAAACGAACGCGTTTCAGCGAAATCGATGTTAATAAAATTAAATCTGCGTAATGCAAAATGACAATACTGTAATTGATTCCATGAATAATGAATAAATGAAGTAATTTAATTTTGTAAAATCTCGATCAAAACAGGACAAACAAAATGGAATTTATACGCCGAATAATATTTATATAATATAGATGTTATTGTTTGCTTTTCCTTTCTCGCGTGAATCCGTAGTAAATTCAAAAGATCAAAGAGTTTAGGAACGTTAAAAGAATATTATATGAATGGTCAATAAACATATGGGTCTTCTTTGATTTTTTTTTTCAAATTTCTTCCTTATAAACCAAGAAGCTCAAGTGTATTTTTTTTTGTTCGTTACAATAATAATAATAATTCATTACAGACAGGAAATAGTATTTTAATTTATGGTTCAACCCTGAGGGAATCCATCCGAGTATTTTTATATGAAATTGTAAAGTTTAAATGGAAATTTATTTGCATTACAAATGAGAAAAATTTATCATATATATATTTTTTTTTTGTTAAAAAGTTCAAAAATTTTAAAAAAACAAGTATTTACAGTTTGCTATATTACATAAAATATTACACTTGTTTTGTGCTTTATCTTAGTGATTTTCATGATGTAAGTTATAAGTTTTGCAAATACGTTTCTATCCTTAAAATATATTTTCATCATTTACTGAAGTTCATGTAAGAGTGGTTTCATATTATAGTGATTTTCTCGTAAACTAACATAAATTTAATGGATTAAAATATTCACATTTAAGTGATTTTCTCTGAAACTTTAATAGGTTGAATGGATCCAAAAGATTCATATGAAAGTTGAATATTTGGGGAATGTAGCAAGTATTCACAAATTGCTGTGTTTTCGTCCGTTTGTCTGTAATTCGCGTTTAAATTTGAAAAATTGGAAAATTAATACTCGAAAAAG